AAGAAATCAAGACTGAACAAATATGGCAAAGAAAAGAACAGGAAAGCAAACTTTCCCTGCAAGTGATGGATGTAAGTTGTTCTGTTTTTGTTTTGTTTAACTATAAGCCGTAGTTATATTTAAAATTATATGCTTTAAAATTATAAGATATATTTACAAACATGATTAAACATTTATTCCCACAATATATATACCTCTTTTAGCAAGTATTTAAAGAGTCCTTGAAGGACTACATAGATAAAAAGTTCTCTGAGTTCAATATTAGTGCTAACAAATTCACAAACTATTTCTATATAGGATGGATAAGTGTGGTATGTAAATTTTAATTTTTTATGATTATTATCAATTTTAATTGTTTATTTTTTTAAAATTCATTTGGTTTAATGTTTTCACATTATTTTGTCTTACTAGTTGTTGGCTAAAATGAAAAATTACCATGGTGTGATATTTCAAAATATTAGAAATTTGATCTGGAAAGTTTTTGGAGCTGAAAAGCTTACTATATTGAAAAGTAACTCTAGTATTTCCAAAATTGTGAGGTGGAAGAAAAAGGCTGAGGTTGGTAATTGTTTTTGCTCACTCTTTGAACAAAACGAAGATGGCATCTTTTAGATTGATTTGATCACTAGAAATGCATTTTCTACCATTGTGGTGTCAACTTTAATGCACGAACATTGTGTGTTTACATTGGCAGTATGTGATATTACCTTAAACCCTCAGTTATGATTTATCAAATATATGCAAAAGTCTATAAAACACCAACTTGAAAAATATTTGGTAAATATTATTGTTATGTAATTTTATATCGCACAAAATTAATAGATTTTGCATTGTAGGATGATTACAATAATGGTAGTCACTCCTTTGTTTCTTCTAAAGCAATAATGGAAGATGAGCTTGCAAACGGATGTAGAAGGTCTTGTTTAATTTTGCCACAAACCGATAACAAACCTGGACCATTATCTCAAACAAGCTCTTCAATACAATATTCGCAAGAGGAAATAGATAAAGTATTTGGGGTTGACAAGTAATGATTGATGAGATTTTTTTCTTTTTTTTCTTTTTCTTTTTCTTTTTTTTCTTTTTCTTTTTTTTTTTTCTTTTTTTTCTTTTTTTTTTTTTTTCTTGATAATTTTTAGTATTAGCTTATTGTAATTAGTTTTTTTTTAAATGTATTGTTTATATTGTGACAATACTAATAAATAAATAAAATTGTATTAATATTGAATTGATAATTTGCTTTTAAATTTATTATAATATAATACATAGTATACAGTATAATATTAAATCTATTAGAGTTTAACCAATTTTAATCATGTAATCAATAAAAGTCGACAGGTATAAAAATTAGATATATATCGATTATTATTAATAGATAAAAATTGACAAATATAAAATTGGATATATATTGATTACTATCTCAATCAATAATAATTGGCTGAGGTGATTACTATTGATATATATCTACAACATTAGTAATTGATATATATTAGCCTATAAAATTTGCCGATAATAGCATGATAATTAAAACAGAAAATAATATAAAAAGTAATATGATAGATAGAATAAAAGTAACAAGATAGCTAAAAAAAGTAATATACTGTAATAGAATAATAATAGTTAAAATAAAAAGTAATATAATAGTTAAAACAAAGTAATATAACAATTATTAGTTAGAATAAAAGTGGTATAATAGTTAAAATTTATAGTAGCATAATAATTAGAATAAAGATAATATATTAATTACTCATTGCATTATACAAAAAGGTAATAAGAAAAAAAATTGATTTAAAAAAGCAAAATTTTGATATTATATAGTTTTTTTTTTTTTTTTTTTTTTTTTTTTTTAATATTAAAGGTAACCACTTAGGCC